TTAATTTTGTTATAATTATTCATTTGAGTGAGAAAAAAAGGAAAAAAGAGAATATATATATATATATATATTATTGTTGTATGTTTTTGTTCCTGACATGTTCAATAAATTGAATAATAAAAATATACATTTGCCCTTGTGTGGCAAAGTGTCTAATGTGTATTATATGCGATAACAATAGCTGCATAAGGTCACATGCGGAGAAGTGGCCTCTTTGATTTTTTTATATTTTATGTTGCCATGACTCATTTTTTAGGTACTGATTTACAAATATTCAACAAAGGCAAACCTCAAATTACATTGTCATACTGAAAACTCTGAATTAAATGCGGATGTTATAAATATGCTTTGAGTAGGAACAGCTAATTATGATAAAAAATATATATAGCTATTTATAATGGAGACCTAGAAGCAATCACTAATATTAGTACATAGAATCGTACAGTACCTTCAGCCTCTCGTGGAGACCAGTGTCCAGAAGGGGCGCACGGTCGTGGGGAGGAGGAGTTGGAGGCATACTGCAGGAGGACTCTCCCCTCAGTGCATTTATCACACACTGATCCCACATCTCTAGGAAACCAACAGACAGGCACAGCAACCAACTTAGATACAGGCCAAACACCCAAATTGTAAACAGTATATTAAACATACAGTAATGTCAAATCATATGACAAAGTTTTAAAATGGTGCTATAATTACTTGGCTACATTTTAGATGTCTGAGTCTGTAAAAGATTAATTGAGCATTACATTTCACTACTTGTTATATGAACTCAAACAATAATCAATAATGTAATTAATCTGGGTCAACTTTATTACCATACACACCCGCATCTGTTTGGCAACCTATGTAGCTCATTTCACCTGTCGTAAAAGTGTCCAGAAATCGGTGGAAACCATTCCAGGGTGATGGAATTATGATGCTGCTCCACCACTTGGGGTGGCATTGGCACTGGAGGAGGTTTGGAGGCAGGTTGCCAGGTCTGATAGATGAGGTCCAGGTAGCAGTGCATCCTAGCCACCTGGTTCAGGGTGAAGGAGTCTGTACAAGCATCATCTGCAGGTGACAGAAGGAGGTGGTTAGTGTTAGAGGTGGAAAGTGTATTTTTTTGGTTTGATCAGACACAGCAAAAGGAAGTAGGTGTTAAATCATTCCATTTGTCTAGATCCAATGAATAAAAAAAAACACCTGGTCATATGTAGCAGTTTTGTTTTTCCCATTTAACTGTGACAACAAAATCATGTTTTAACTCTTGCACATACAAGGTGTGCCCCCCGCTGCGTTTTTCCCATGAGATGTCCTTGCTAAATTCCACACCTGTCTCTGTTTGCACACAGACTCAACACATTCCTCCACGGTGATCCCTCTGTGTCAGTTGCATGTGAGCGGTATAACTGTAATGTTTTGCCTGGATAAGTAACAAAACATTATGTGGAGGCTCTTACCTGCATAACTCATGTAGTTGTTAAAAGGCGTGTGCGTGAAATGCCGACCGCCACATGTTTCGTTGCCAGGCTCAGGATCGTGGCACCCTTTGAATTTGGGGGTGGGGTTGGTGTCCGCACACAGATCTCCAGTCTCCATCGAGGGCTCCGTCTCCAAACACGCATCATTACACGAATCGATTTCTGATATTCCTCGGAAGACGTGATAAAGTCCAAGACTGTGACCGATCTCATGGACCATTGTGTCAGTGTGACCAAACGTACCATAGAAGGAAGGGTTCAGCACAATTCCACCTATGAAAAAGAGAAAGGACACACGATGTAAACAATGCATTTACTCACTAGTGTAGTGTAAAGTAATAGTATAACTGGAGTAAGATGCAATGCATTATTAATGTGCAACCTCAGCTTCGTTATCTCCTTCTTCTCTGTTGGAGCTGTGACTAAGAGAAAAACTGCTTGGGGCTTGAACTGTAATTACTCAAAATCAACTATCTAGGTTGCCAAAGAGAGGATGTGTGTGCATGCACATATGTTTGTGTTGTTGTTTGTATTCTACCCAAATGTGTGAGGGCCTCTTTGTCCCATGGCCAAGTGGCAACCCCCACCAGATCTTCATCAGAAGAATTGGCAAAGAAGACATTCAGGTGAGTCGAGCCATCCAAGTTCAGAATCTCTTTCACCTCTTTCACATCCAAATAGGCTCTGGAAGATTAAAAGCAAACAAACAAGAGTTTTTCACAATAAGTTAATGGCTCTACAATGAGAGTAGTCTTTTCACAGTAGATGCAGACATAACCAAGACAAAGTTATACAAATAGCAATTCTTTTTCTAGTCAAAAGTTGTCTTTCAAGAAGATAGAACCCAGAAATAGGGCTCTGTCAATTGTAAGTATTTACTTAGTGTGTATTGGCCATTGCCATGGTCCTTAAAATGAAAGTTTGTAATGATAAGAGGAATAATTGACCGTGTGAGGTTGCAAACAGTTGGTGTTAAACCAATATGCCAAAGTGCTCTCCCTAAGGGGGCCTGAAGTATGTTTTCACTTGGACATAACAAATAGATTGTTGGTAATGTCTTGTTTAGAGGTGTTGGCAAACTGATGCTGTACAGACTGCAGGTCTGTACTGTGAATAGGGATGGTATTCATTCTGACCAATCATATATGTGTTGGTCAATCCATTAAATTGCATTGTAGTCACTGCTAATTTAGTACCTTGATTTACTTGAAAAGGGGGATTACAGACCATGCTGGGAAATGTGTTTTCTGAGAGGTGCTATAAGCAAATAAAAAGTATAATAGCCCAAACTATATGTATAGTATATGTCTTGGAGAGTGGAGTTGTTGTGGAAACACAAAATGCCAAACCACAACGTTATTTATGTCTATGATGTGCGATGTTTTGTGTTGGGAGACATTGAATCGTGGATAAACAGCACACGTCATGGGTGTCCTTTACTTTATTTCAACAAAGTGTAAGAGATGTAATGGCAACCCACATAGATATCAAACAGGTGCTGGTGGGAATAAGACTGTATCAGTGGGACAAAGAAAACATGTATTTTTGTTATTTATGTTTTTCATGGTTTTAAAGGCTGACCCTTTTATATTCTACTTGAATGGACTACTGATGGAAATGGACAGTGAATGGTTCATGCCTGGCTTATTTATATGATGTCATGTATTCAACTCTTCACACCAGCCTTAAATGAACAGAAACATGTATTGTACTGCATATTAGGAAGGTGTTAATGCTGCCATGAAAACAAATCTACCTTAAATGCAGGAATGATATAACGTTTTCTGATACAGTATCATCTCAGATCAGTCTTACTCAGTTAAGTCAGCCTGACACTTTATTTATTTGTTCAGATATTCTGATGTCTCCCTCTCCTTCTGCCCTGGGGAAGATAACTGCAGCTCTAATGACTGCAATCATTCAACACAATGAGATATCTTTCCAGCAGTGAAACTGTCACTCATTTTATGAACTCATCAAAGAAGTTCCTCCCTAAGAGCCTTGCTGGTGGTCCTGGCAGAGCGGCTGAACAAGCTTGGTCCTGTCTGATGACTAAATGATCCGTTTCATATGTTAAAGTGATAGTTTATTCATTTTCTTTGGCTTTAAATACACAATGGATACACAGGAGTTTACCAGTAACAACAACATGGCATTAGCCCCAAAAATGATGTGCGCTGTGTGCGATGTGTGTTTTGATCTCATTTGCGTGACCCACTTGCCTGCCTAATATTTGGTATTTTGTATGTGTTTAGATAAGAACATGTAATGTGAAAACACTGAGGCTAAAACAGCATGCTTCTTTGTACCTGGTCCTATTGCAAGGAGAGTTTCCTCCCAAAAACCAGTACTATAAGTGATTTCACTCTTCTTTAGGTAATGTGTACTTTTTGACATAATAAAACCTTGCATCATGTAACAGAAACACTGTAATGTCATTGATAGTTGATAAATGAAGGTACTGTACGCTATTTAATGTATAGCAATTGCACGTTATGTACCATCAGTGACAATGCTTTAGCAAATAATAGAAACTGATTGATCCTATCCAAGTTGATGCAGAATGAACTGCCTTACTGTTTGGATATCTTATAGTACATTTGGAAATATTTTCCAAAAGATGTCATGTCAATAGTGCAATGTTTCAATGTTCAGTTTTATCAATTGTATATGTATATCATTAACAGTGAAGTCTGACATTTTAGCAAATCAAAAGTTTAAAAATGGTGCCTTGTTTTTTGAAGCGCAGAGCAAATGTGTGCCACTTAAGTGAACTCAGGTTAATATAATGATAAAAGTGAACATCTCAAAGGCTCATGCTTTGTAAAGCTTAATATCTAAAAGTGTGCTATTTATATATGTGTAGAATTGCTGTAAATGTGTAAGGTAGAGTACAGTTTTACTGCAAGATGAAACTTGATTTGACTTAATTAGATGTATTATATTTTCGCTTAGGGGGTGAGGTTGTTATTAACAGAAGACATTTAACACATTTTCAAAAAACTCCATTCAACAAGACTCACTGACATGCAGAACAATTTATGATTAATGTTGACAATAAAAGTGATACCCACAAAATTAGCAGCTCAGAGTAGAGAAGATAAAATGTGACATCCTGTGATTTCAGCTAAATTATGGTGGAGCATTTGGTTGCCAAAAGAAGTGCAGCTGCGTAAGTGATACCACTTAAGGTTCAGCGAACCCATTTAATCCCATGGGTCACAAAAGTGACCATAAAAAGTTTTCAGTTATAAGGCTCTAAAATCTTACTGAATGATGTGTTGAAGCATATCTAGCATATATTTATTTATTAAAGGGTCTAAATATGATATGCATAGTATCACATATTTAGTGTAAATTATCATATAACCAGAGATGTTTTCTTTCTGGTTGCACCATGAAAATAATGACTGTATCATAGCTCTATAGACAAAAAGTTAAGTTATAAAATGTGTCCGTGAGGCATATGGGCTACAGCAGAAGTTCCTTGCATGTGATTGGCTGAATTGATATTTGCATAAACAAGCAGTTAAAAAAGATAAGATAATAACCTCGTCAAGACTACAATGTCAGACCTGCAGAATCTATGTTCTAATTTAAATGTAAGCATTGAACCAAGGTGTCTCATTCTGTACATCCAATGAATTCCAAAGGAAGCAGTTCCAACGTCAGTGTCCCTGGTGTTTGGAGATGTTCTGGAAGAATTTACACATATAAGCTAACTCTGATCTCTTTTTTTCATTACATCCAAACAACATTTTGTTGTAGGGGTCTCTCTGCCTCAAATCATAAGTGAGCTGCACCTCAAAACACACATTTAAATAAGGGAGTTCAGTGTAGCACATGCTTTCTTCAAGCCTACTGTATGCGAGAGCAACCGGGGGCAATCACTGGGGCCGGGTTTAAAGAGAGACACTGAGAGAGAAAATATGATATAAGGTCCCTCTTCCTAATAGTTTCAGGAATTTCATTATTTCCTCAGAAAATATTTGTCCAGAGTTTTTGGACATGCTCAACGAATGAGTCAGCAATGAAAAAGAGCAACAGTTCTTCTCTATGGTCAAAATAGAACTATTATGAGTTCAATTATTCAGTGTAACATGATAGATTGATGAGCAAATGCAGAACATATGCATATACATACATGAGGTGTATGTTTTTGATTTCAGAACATTTTAAAGATTTGCTGCGACTACAGTACGCCGGTAGCAGATGATTTTATTTGGAGGGTGTTTGTCACAAGTTTGGGCATTTTAAATCATCTATCGTTCCATCTGTCAATCCAGATCTTACTCAAAACTCCTCGCCAATAACCCTTCAGCAATAACCATGTTCTCTCTCTCTGCCTCCCTCACACACGCCTCAACTATTTCCACATCCCATCGCCCCGTTCCCGACTCTTTCTTCCCATCAAACTTTTTTTTAACCAAGATGAGCCACTTGGGAAGACACATGATTTTCCATGTATTTAACCACACAATTCAGACATGTCCTGGGGAATACAGTCTTTAAAAACATTTTTTTTAAAGGAGTGAAAGAACTAGGGAGTAAAAGAGAGAAAGAAAGGTAAGGTGTGTGCAGAAATCTAGCTTCTCTGAATTGAAGTGTCCATGCAGAGCATCTGTGGTAGGGATCTAAGCAGCTCAAACTGCTGTGTTAATGCTTTTATCTGATACATATTAAATGGGGGATTATGACCTCATCCATTTACACCCATATATAATTCACATAAGCCCATAAATGTGCCTTGTATACATATGTCTGGGGCAGAATAATGGGAAAGCTGGGGTGAACTGGCATTGCAATGATAGTCTTACGGCCAAGAACACTTTTAAAATTGGAGGGGGCCCTCAGCTCCTCTGTCATCGAGTTGGTCAACACCACAGCCCCTAAACCCATCATTCATCTCTGCCTTTATTACTATACTTGCACTCTCCTCTTTAACCTTCCATCTTACTCTGCTGATTATTTTTTCTCCTTTCCAAGGAAGACACATTGGAACTGTTTTAACGCTCAGATTCCAGAGATCCTGCCGTGACTGCTTTTTGCTGAGAGAAGAGTTTGAACAAGAAGGATTTGGAGAAATATGGAATGGACGACGGGACGGTCTGAACCTCAATGACCCCAAAAAGGCAGTATCAACTAAATTCCCCAGTGTGTCATATTTTTCCAAAAGACCACTTACAGTATCTGGCTACATATTATCCCATCATAGCCAGATGCAACTCCCCTGCCTGTCTAGTGGCCCGAGTACAGCCCCTCCTTCCTTATTTCTCCCTCAGTCATCTAGTCAAGCCCAAAGACATCTATAAGCCCGATGCGAGCACAGGTGAAAGATCTGCAACAGGTGCTTTTAGAAGTGTGCTAGCACCGCTATGGTTTTAAAGGGAAAGTGCAAACTCCTGGTATTTACGCCCAAGCACTCCATTATGTTTTATGGGATGGGGGCTTAAAGTTTAGACGACCAACTGTAAAACACCCAAGTCAAGGAAGGGCCCTGGAGATTAGCTCCGCACTCTGAGCTAAAATACAGCAGAGAGAGGAAGTGAGGGAAAGTGAAAGGGGCGTCCATCCATTAACCTGCCACAGTAAGAGGTATTGACTCAGGAGGGGGGGAGAGACAGAGGCCAAGGTAAAACAGATGACCTATTAGCCTCTGATAAAGCCAGGCCAGGACTTCATTTCAGAAGAAAACGTATTGAGATTGAATTGGTCCTAATATCTGCCTGGCTTTGCCGACCAAAGAAATTGTAATCTGATGAGTTCAGATATTTTGGGAATGGTTTTCTGTCTAGTTTGTTGGATATTAAATTGAGCCTTCATTGACATTCAAACAAACACAAAACAAACTTTTACCATTTACTCCCTTTGTTTTCTGCCTTTCTGCACTCATGTTAATTCACAGTGTATACATTACAGCCACAATTTTAGATTCCCCTAACTCCAGACATAAGAATGTAAAGGCTGTCAGATAACATCAAATACCACCAAAACCATAAGAATTGTCAAAACCAAGGGCTGTGAAAACAATGCAAAATAATTCCCTAAGCCAAATGTGGAGGGGGGGGGAGGGGGGTTATTATCAATGGTATTTCAGAGGAGAGACTGTTTCAGGACCACAGAGCTGCCTGTGTCCTGTGTTAGCCAGATTTCTGAAAACACTACTTGTAAGTGGTAACAGGCGCGTACGCTGCAAAAATAAATGCAGGACCTCACAACCATTGTTCCCCTGCAAACGCAGTACATTGTTCATCCAGAATTCCATAATTATGGAGGAATGTCAAACTGTTTGTAGTGTAGCTCTCTGCAAGTCTCTTCAGACATACCATAATCAAAGCAAAATAATCAACCACTCTGGGAGATTATATCTATTTCTTTAAAATTCTCTTGTCCTCGTTATGTTTGTCTCCTTCTCTTTCTTGCTTGTATCCTTCCTTTCAAAAGCCCATCTTTCAAACGCCCGCAGGGAGGTCTGAACATTGCAGCGGCAAAGCGTTTTGCCAATGGCTGATGTCTAAATGAAGTAGTTTGCCTGCCACTTGATGAATGAGCTTCTAATGATGACTAAGCTGGAAGGGATGTGATGGGAATTGAGAGAGTGAAGCAACGTCAAAACCCACCTGCTTTTCCCTTCTGATGTTAATTAGATGTCATTATTTAGCTATTTTGCAGTCATTTAAACAATAGCATAGTGCCAAACAGACAATCCTTCCAGCTTAACTGTGATTGAAAACAGCCGGGTTTCCTTGATTCATGCTATCAGAAGAACCCAAACAATCCAGCACTCTAGGCCTAAAAGTTTTTCTCCCTTTCGCTTGTCCCCACATGACAGTGGCAAGAAATCCTGACAAACATCTGAATTTAAGTCATTTTTGTCTCTTTTTCTCGTGTAACCATAAAGACCCCCTGCATTTTCCACAAAAATGTCTCAGTCTACTGTGTAGGGTTTCAGTGTACCAAGAAACAAACAACCCTGCTATTGGAGGTCTGGCACAAACCTCATTACAGCCAATTCCAGAGATGTATTCTCCTTGCCAGCTTTTACTCATCATCTACAAGCCACAATGACATTACCACAAAAACAAAAATGTGCATGCATTTATGAAGGCATCTGTATAATCCTAAAGTAGCTGCATGAAACCATATATTGCTTGCTTGACGTACAGTACATCTAGAAGATACTGTAGTACTGGTATTCACATGCAAGCTAAGGGAACTTTTCTTTCAATGTTTTTCCTGGAAAAATTATTTCAGGCACCCCTGTTTAGGGACCCATACCTGCCTCCCCAGGAAACATGTCTTTCAGTGGTTTCCTGGAGAGAGTGGTATGTCTTTGAAATTATTTCCATAGCTACAAGCAAAAAAAAACATACTGGACTCTCTTTTCTGACCTGTAATTGCCCTTACACTCTGTTTACTATGTCACTCTTTCCAAACCAACTCCCTTTTCCAATCAAGTCAGCTTGATTAGGACCTATGGGTATAAGAGACATAGAATACAGAAAAAGGAGAGTTGTTGAAAAATGGATACATAAATGAGTGATTTGGCCTGTGCATTAGCTTCAAGGAAAGTCATCCGGTGGAGTTTGTTTTGCCCTGCTTAAGTGTGGAACACTGATTGAACCCGGCCAAAGCTAGATTGGACTAGCTGCTCCCAGAGGATTTCCTAGGCCACACAGGCGGGGAGTTATGTTACACTCAGCCTCAGCCCAAATGGTCAGGAAACAGTAGGACTAGACATTAAAACATCTCTTCAGGGACACATGTATGGAAAGATTTGTTGTTTGGTTTACTCTAGACATGTGAGACCATGGTGTAGAGTTGGTTTACCAAAATTATTCAATCATGTCAACCAAAAGAATGTATCAAATTAGGCAAGGAATGCTGTGGTTGGATAAAGCTTTTTGGGGAATGTAAGTATTTTGTTTATTAAACAACTACCAAAGAGGATTACCAGTGCCACAAACATGGTAACATGCAAAATGTGAAGAGTGTGATCTTACTTGTGTGGAGACGAGCGGTTGAAGCATGTCTTGGTCACATCAGTAACATTGGGATTACAGCAGTCGCCGAGGTCATAGAAGAAGTTTTCCCAGTTACATTCAGGGTCACACACACCATTTCCCTGCTTGTGCTCAGGGCAACGGCTCCGATACCCAGACATACAGTCACCTGCATCATACCCTGTCAGCGGGTGGTTGCATTCTGGGTCGCATGCATCATCGCCAACTTTGCTGATATCACAGTTAGCTAGAATCAGGCGGTTCCGAAGAGAGGAGTTGGTCACATTGTGAACGCTAAGCTCCCAGCTGATGTTGTAGGGGCTAAAGGCATCATTTAGCTGCTGGTGTTGCAGGCTGATCTGGTGGTCTGATACAGTTGGCTTTATCCGTAAATCGTCCCAAACATTGATGACACGATAACGTACTTTCTTCGGTCGACGGAAGTTCCAAAGGTTGTTGTAGTTTTTGATGACCTGGACATTGTCGCAGACAGTTTGACCACAAGATGGCGGGTCCAGCGTTGTGTCCAATATTCCCTCAGAATTAACAACTCCAACACCACCCAGGAATCCTAATCGTCCGCCTCCCCCCTCCTCAGGCTGAGGAAAGTTACCATCTTTTACAGTCAGCCACTTCCGGCCTGGGTGATCGAATGTTTCACGTATGACCAGCTGAGGTAGATCTTGGGGGTCTTCATGGCCCTGCATATCCCTGATAATCTGCCTCTGCCCTCTGGCCTGCCTCCATAGGCCCACCCTCTCCACTGCCCCCCTGTAATTATGATTCAGTGCGTTCCCCCCAATCATCAGCACTTTGCACTTTTTGGTCAAATGGCTGAAGACATCGCCCGATTGCTCGCGACTGACACCCACTTGGGCCCCGTTGACAAAGAGCTTCATGTACACACCGTCATATGTGACTGCCACATGTGCCCATTGGTTGGGTCCATAACGAGCGTTGGAGTGGATGGAGGTCACTTTGTGGGCACGGTCCGTTTTGAGAGAAAAGAAGAAGCGGGGATCACGATTCCCGTGTTCACTAACCGCCTGGATGCCAAGCAACCAGCCTCGGTCACTAGAGGCGTAGAAACATTTGTCGTATAGGCCTGGAGAGAGAATGAAAAAAAGAACCAATTAATATATGCATTCCTTTATTTCCAGGCGTGAATCTCGCCCTGAACATCAGAAAGAATCTGCAGCAATAATTTTAAAAAACATGTTCACCCTTCACCTGTAAGATGGCTGACACTCTTCTGATACTAGATGTCACACGTACATATGATCCTTAATGTTATTTTTTGTTAACATGCCAATTAGATTTCAAGGTATGTTTTTTTTATCACCCAAGTAGGATTTAAAACATTTTGTTGAGATAAAGGAGTGAATGTATTAATATGATTATTTATTTTTTTAAAGATCTGAGTGCATGTTGTCCTGGAAATTGGGTGGAAGTGCATGTTTAGCTAAGGGAGACCCCATGGAAATCTCTCTGTATAGGCGTCTTGCATACACTGAGTTTATTTAAAGTCATTCGTGTTAATGTTCCTTGCCAGTGGGGTAGCCAGTAAAGGCTAGTTTTCTGCTAAAGCCTTGTTTTTGTAGAGGCACCAAAACACCTTTTTCCTGTTGCACTTGGACCGTGTATGTCAGATTCAGCATGGTAATGTGTTTTCACATCTTAGGGGATCTCTGAATGTTAACTGTTTGTTTGTTTAACACTTGTTGAGGTACGTGTGTGAAGGCGCACAAGTTTATGCCTGTGCGTATGTTTTTAATATATGTTCGTCCAGTCAGAGTGTGCAAAGATTCCATAGCACCTTGTTGTGTCTTACAAGCATGTGAAAGTCTGTGTTCGCAGGTGATTCTGGGGAGAGAGCAGGACTCCGCTCTTGTGACAGGAATACATTCCTGGAATTTGCTAATATCATGGTAAAATTTCTAACCATGAGATTTCTGGGAATTATGTCCATTTGCAAAGAGACACATAATCTGTGACATCCACACTCAGCCCATATTGGTATTGAGTGTCCTTTGCAGTTGATTCTAGGATATATGCATCAGATGCCTGTAAATACCCTTCATATTGTTCTGTTCTGACTTTAGTATGGTCTCAAATGATAAGCTTATTATCATTATGATGATCACATCTTTGCCTCAATGCACTTGTTCACTCAAATGCCTTTGTTCCCCATCGATTAGGCTACCTGAGCCTCAAATAAGTGGCTGGCTAATGGTAATTGCACAGACATCTTGCTAACTTTGACCTGTTTCTAATTAGATGCGCACTCCAGTATGCATTCATTAACTTGGTATTTCAATGGACTAATGTTCAAAGAGTGAGGCCCGGGTTCAGCATCAAGGTCAGTCCTTTGGTGGATGACGTTTTCAGGCTTTCCAATACACTGGAAGGAAAAAGCCTTCCATCTGTCAGCCAGTGCACTCAAGGCTAAAAGGTGTGCTAAAATGCTCGTAGGGCTCCTAATGTAAACACCTGTCATAATTCTGCCATGCTCAATTAATCTAACACACAACACTTTTCCAGACCCTGCACTGTGACTCCTCTGGCACACACAAACACACCTACACACACATTATGCACATACTTATACTGACTTGCATTTACAGTATATCCTCATGAAAAAATACATACAATCCCATATTCGCAGACAAATTGAAAAGCTAAACCAAATATTTGTGTGTCTATTCAGAATCCCCCATAGACACGCAGGGATTTGCATGTGCACACGCTACAGTAGAGAGCTGTTCCTGTTAGGTTCAAAGGCAACTTTTCTAGCATTTGTCTTCTTCCAAGAAAAACAAAGAAAAGAAAAAGTCAAACAAAAAACAAATACACACAAAAAGAAAAATGTCACAAGGACTTGATAATAAGCAGAGTGGAAGGGAACAATGAATACGCCGTTTACTTTTGAGCTGTTATGGCTCTGAAAGGTCAAATTAAGGCACTTCATAGTTTAAAATGACCGCCACAGCAGTTTCCCTGTGTAGAAAATGGAAAGTTCCAATGATACTATAAACCCAAACTTTATAAACATAGAAAGTATATTGATTATAAAAAAAAGTTATCACATCACTTGAAAACACTCTACTTAAAATATTTGACTTGGCTATCAAGCTTCAGTCTGAATGAGTTTAACGTAATGCTGGTTTCATTGAGGGATAAATGATCCGCCAATAGTTGCAGGTTCAGATGTGATAAATTAATACCACTTTTTATGAACTGTAACTCATGCTGGGACACTGTCATCCCACAAAACCATGATCCAAGGACATTAACTGGGATTTATTGGAACCCAACAAACTCTCTCTCTATGGCTCAGTGAAGCAAAGTGCATGACCATGATGACTGACACATTTCTAGTTGAGGTGATTGCTGAGATGAGTGTAGCACTAAAGTCTAAACCCCTCTTGAAACTGTAACCGCATGCAAGGTAATTACCCATCTCAAGGATATATATCTTCCTCTTAGTGTCCTAACTAACATGATGACTTGTTAATGAAACCGGAAGATTACATTTTCAAGTATCCATGACAAAAAATATGAGCAAAGGAAAATGTTTTGAAAAAAATGATCACATGTATTATCACACTAGCTGACTGCACCAAAAATATCAGTTATCGCAGCGATCATCTGCTAATGTCTGCATTGCAGATTGTCCCCAACAGGTCAGGGAAGAGAGCCTCTGTCTCTCATGTGAACTATTTTCCTCTTTCTTTGATGCGAGACAACCCAACATGACCCGGATACGAGGGCTAATAGGGCACAACAAGGTTTGCATAACATTTGGACACAGAACTTGATCGTGTGTGTGTGTGTGTGTGTGTGTGTGTGTGTGTGTGTGTGTGTGTGTGTGTGTGTGTGTGTGTGTGTGTGTGTGTGTCTCTAAAAGTGTTACGAATGTTTTTGTACCTGGGATCAATTCTAGCCACATGTCACTGTCACACTCAGGAAATGACAGCACAGGAAACACTTTTTCCCCATGATGTCATTGGTTAATTCAAAGATCATGGTGAGCCACACATGTATGGTTTGACCACTCATCTCTGGAGAATGAAGTAGCAGTTATTTATCCCTGGACAATCTATTTTCAGCTGAAAAGTGGTACTGCTCTACTGCTCTAAGAAATGGTATTGTATATCATCATTGTTAAATACAAATCTAGGCTCACTGCTCACACATCGACCTACTTCATGTATATAAGGTTACCTGTTACATTGCACTATTGCCTTACTCTTAACTATGTACAACTTTGCCCAGTTTTTTTTCCTTGTTTTAACTGTTTTTCTATATCTTGTGTATGTGCATTGAGAGCAGCTGAGTCAATGTTCTTGTGTGTGTACCTTGGCCAATAAAGCTAATTCTGATTATTAAACAATTTCATTGTACTGTCAGATCCGAAGGCGCACATAATGCCTTTTGAGTAATTGTTAATTTGAAGTTTCTCCTTTATATTTATGAGCAATTTATCAATTACAACCCTTTCATCTTTTTGCAAGGGAAGACATTGCGCAGAGTTATAGGAATCTTGTGTGCAAGACAAAACTCAAAAACAGAGACAATAACAAGGATACAAAAGTACCAGAACACTCAAGTGCTGCCAGCGTTTTTTTCTTTGCTCGCTTTATGAGTGATAATTCCCTACCAATTGCATAAAAAACCACAACCCAAGTGTTAAGAACAAGAATCATTGAAATCTGGAAGACTGTAAGAATAAAAAAGACAGATACAAATACAGAAGGATATAGAAAGAGAGAAATTGTGGTGGTCAAAACAACACAGTAAAAAAAACAGCTGCTGCAAACAACACTCTCTGCTAGGATCAAAACAAGGGGATGGAGCAATTTTAGAGGCACTGGGATTTTTTAGGCCTGAATTGGATTTAAAAGATTAGGCTTTATTGAATTTGTTTGATCATCATATTTGCTAGCTTTATAGGTCCTCTCTCTGGCACACTAGTGGGAGCGTGATGGGAGAAAGTCTTAAAAAAAACACAAGATTATACATGGATGGTAATCTCTAGTAAGGACAGGTCACTAAAATATGGGGGCGGGGCATCACAACAACACCTGTACATAATAATGTCATGCAATACCATGTCCGTAACGACTATAAAGTGTATTCTCTGTAGGAGATTGTGTTCTCAATGTGTTTATTTAACTCTATGGACATTGTGTAGGCCTTTGTTAGTGTTGTTTTTGTACTGGATTGCATAATACTGTACAGATGTTGCTGTTATTATGTCCATCCTCTGTAAATCTAGGAGTCCCTCAGGTCACAACAGACCCTCTCAACCCCCTATCCCCTAGTTTGAGACTCTGAAAAGGGATTGGTTTTGCAGAGCATGTTCCTGCCAACTGGCTAGCAATACCTAAAAGTGTATCTCAATACACACACAAAAACACACACACATAAGTGATTATGTATGTGTTTTTTTTGGGGGGGATGGGTTGTTTTGAGAGAGCCAGACAGAATAAAATAAAAGGAGCAAGTCAATTTACTCATTTGGTTTAGTCCCCATACGTGCAGACTGGCATACTGGAGGCTGAGGAAGACAGGGTTCAATTCAGTTCAGTTCAGTTCAAAGGCAGCCATCTGCACAAGTACTGTAGCAGGCAATGAGTTGTGTATGCAACGCTCCCTATCGGCAAAGAAAGGCAACAAGAAACCCTGTCCTATACTGTAATGCACAAAAGCGCTATTGGTCAAAACAGATGATGCAGAACAGTTTTCAACACCTTTCTGGAGCTCCTTTACGCATGGCAGGAGGAGAAAAAGGGCTACGTACAGATGACATCTACAAAGTGTCAAGCTTTCCTCTAACCACGCGGATCTACTATAATGTGTTAGTAACAAGCTCTGCGCAGTCAGTGGACAATTATGCATCATATCTGATGGTGCCTTAAATTACAGACTCGCCAAATAACGCATGCTTTTGCAAAACAGTCTACGGGATGGAGGGACTGTCCTTAACACAACGAGCACAATAAATGCACACCAATACAGCACAAACACACACAGGACATATTTGGCCATGAGGGGAAACCCTGGTCTCCCAGTACTGTCCCGTAACTCCGGTAGCCAATCCAAAGGTTTCGATTTTGGGGGACACTCAAGCTTGCGGCTTGTGCTGAGCGCTTTGAGATCCATACACATACAGATCACTCCCGCTTTGTGCCTGGCATGACGTGCTCGCTCACAAAGTTTGGACCATTACATCATAGTTTTAAAATAGCCAAATCGGTTCAGAGAAATTACATTTTACGCACAGTGACATCAGCTGCCGGTCAAATTATGCAGCAGCCTATCTGCTGCCAGTACTCCTCACTTTAATGATAATAACCAACATAAATCATCATTCTGAAGTGCAGAAAATACAGAAAAAAATATTTTTGGAAATTCAATCATTTTGCAGCAAATGTTCACTCTGTTTGTAGGAAAACTTAATTTTGATCCAAATCTTGAGTGACCCTTTGTGTGCACTACCTTAAATATCCGCTGTACTAAAAGAGCATTACATCATTGTCTAGTCTGATAGATGAACTCATTTTCAACTCGCTGAAACTGCATGTTGCTTTATTTCAGACTACATGTGGGGAAATATAGCAAATATTCATGTTTAGTTATAATAGTCCAATGTAACCTGCTAGTTTTGGAGTTCACTAATACAAGGAGTTGTGTTGATAAAAGGATGGAGAATGTGTATAATATCCTACCTGCAATCACTGTGGGTGATCGTTGACCTCCCTCCGGTTTGATCCACATCTCCAGAGTGAAATTTCCTCTTGGTATCTCCACGCCAGGCTTCAGCCGCAGCTGATCTCCCCTGCCGGTAAAATAGACAGCTTTGCCCCGATCCGGAGAGTTTTCCTCCGCCTGAGAGGAGCGCCGACGCTGGCGAGGAACCCGTCGCTCCAAGCCGGGCAAAGAGCGTTTGCCCCGGGGCAGACGTGTGGCACAAGCCCCTGGGATGGTGGCTTTCGCCTCCCTAATGCGCACCAACTCCCTCTTGGATCTCCGGACTGTCCCGCACTCTGATCCAAAACACAAGATGAGAATCACCAGGCAAGACACCCAGGGAGATGTCCAAAGTTTCATTTTTCGGGAGAGGAAATAGCAAAAAAATATTAAAAAAATTAAAGGAAAAAAAATTAAAAGAAACAACGGAATACTACAAAAAATGTATGTCCAAAATGTTCTCCTCTTTGGAATCCTCGAGTTTTTCCTTTTCTCTTTTTTTTAAAGCCGTAGAATGTCAAACCGTAGAAACTGTCTAAATAAACCCATAAAGCTATGCTGTTTTTCCCTCTTTATAATGCTAAGCCACGACCCCCTCTCTTAAGCAAAACTACTCTGGAGACATTCGGGGGACACAGGAATATTTGATTCATGTATGTGTTCCACGGTGCCTTTTCAATGGGTCCCATTTAGCCAAAGGGATGACTAATAAGTAATCAATCAAGAGGGGGGTCCGGCCGATGCCCCCCTCATCCCCTTTTGACGGTAGGAGTTACTCGCAGAAATCCACAGTTGTCCGCCAAGCTCTTGTCACACCTTTTTGTTGTTTCCTTATCCTACCCGTAAAACAGCATAAGAAATAGCACATATTAAATTCCAAAGAAAAGTGACAACAAACCGACCTCTCATATTTATTACAGAAAACAAGAGGTAAATTGTGATCAAAAAATGCAATCCAAACTTCCCCTTGCCTGTATGCCTGTACAAAAGTTGAAATGCACTATATTATCTGGTAAGGCGAATGAGAGAAAGAGGGGCAGAGAGCTGCAGAAGTAAGCATCGCGGTCCTCATTGATGCCTGGAGCAGAAACACTTGGAGCAGTCGGAGCTCGCCGTCCGCTTTAGAGGCAGTTTCTCTCTAAGTCTGTTTAAGAACAACTCATGTTTCAAATGTTCCGGGGCTGTGTTTTTTTTTCAAAGTGGGAAGTCACACAGGTAGGCAACTCTCACTGACGGCAATTCTCTTCATGCCACATAGGGATAAGATGGTGTTTACGGAGTTTGAAAGGCGTATATGTATCCCTCTAGTGGTTACAATTTAAACAATCTAACACTTCCATAACACATGGACCATAACTAAGCAGCCTGAAAACATGAAGGAATTATTCCAACCCCCCCTTTGTTGATCTTTGATGAAATCCCCCCTGAAACCAAGGCATTAAAGTTGATTTAATTTGAAAGTAATAGACTATTGCACTGAAATTCCACAAGATAAATGAAAACAAAGTTAAACAGATGACTATAACTGAATGTAAATCAATTTTGGAATATAATAAAAAGAATATGTCAAATATGATTAAGGGATTGTGCTTTAATTTTTTAGGCTCATAAAAACAATATTTGTAATTGTAATCGATTGAGATCATTCTCCACCTGTAGGTACAAATGTTTTATGCAATATAAAAAAGACTAGAAATAGGCAACTCAACTCACATACTCTTGGGAAAGTCCTCCAATTAACTTTGAAAAACAAATTATACAAAGGTACACCTAACTGCCCAGTCAAAGTCATGCTTCCCATTATTGCCTTTTTAGAAACAGGTAAGCTGTAGATCAGAGAAATAATGGAAGAACATTGACAAAGCCAGAGCAGTTATTGTCCTTACTTTACTTCACTTAATTTGATGGATCATAATGTCCTTTCGTCTTTCAATTTGAAAGCCACTTTTATGTTTTTAACGACAAAATGGCATTAAGAGTGCACTTAAGAGCGTTTCCTTCCTGTGCATGTTTTTAAATTTGGCCAACTCCTTAAACTCCAGTCTAAGTTGATGCCAGTTCACTATTAGCACACAAGGATTTAAGTCAAAAGGAATTGAAAAGAGAAAACAAATGTAAGGGATTTCAGGTTGACTCACACACATCCTAATGTTTACCGACCTGTCACTTTAGATGGATGTTAGGTTCAAACCACACTCTCGACTAAAGTTCGTAAGCCTTTGAGCCCGGTGACAAACCCTTCGTAAGTCTCAGCTGCTGAGTGAAATGAAAACAATCCTTTGGTCAATGTTACTGTTACTCTGAGGATATTTTGACACGGAGAGTGACTTTACTTTTTAATGGCTTTCCTTAGAGACAGTAAGCTGGAATGTCGGTGTTTCCTCTGGGTTCTCCCACAGTTGTTTGTTGTAAATGTGTGTTTAGACAGACAAAACCTGCCCCCTATCATAAAGGCAAGAGAGAACAAACATTAAATATTTGCTTTCTTTTTGGTGTTGCGACTTTGGACCACATATTTCCTTTTGTGTCTTGAGCAGGGGGGAATCACATATTGAGAGGTGTTTGACCTTGAAAGTTGCTGTCAGCAGAGTTTCACATAGACCACCAATGTAAATCTTGTCAAAGAAGACAATGAATTACTTTGTATCCCAACCTTCCCATGACAGCTTGTCAACACACATTCTCCTGTTTGATGTGGTTGTGTGGCAGCAATTCCATCTCTTTAAAAGTTGTTTTTTTGGTCCTTCTCTCAAAGATTGGGCTATGTTCATTCGGTCAGCAAAATATTGCTAGGTCACAGACTTGGATTTTATTAAAACTTACTTGATAAAATAATTTAACACTGAAAGGAAATGCAGACCCAGTTTGGTGCAAAAGTCTCATAGAAGACAGTACATTTCTCAAGTCCTATAATTACATTATTCAATGTTTCACCTAAGATCAGACTGTCACTCGCTCTCTCTGTACAGGAGTGCTGAAGATACAAAAGATGACCTAATGTGTTAAGTCAGCATCCTTTCAGGTCGGTACACTGTATTCAGACTCAAGGGCGGAGGGGACCCTGAAACATGCTCAAACAAAGGTCATTCACATTCCCTCCTTTATGCAAGGAGATTGAGTTAAATTGTTTTAGTACAGCCTGGTACCCACCGCCCAACTCCTCAGGGCATGGACCAAAAAAACATGGACAAAGTTCAAACTGTGTGCATCCCTGGCTCTAACTTTAGTTGCTAAATCCCATTCTGCAAATCCCACTGCAAACCTATTCATAAAGCAGAATACACTGCATGACTTAGGAAAGCTCATGATGTTATAATCAGTGAGAGGTCAACAGAGAACAAAACACAACTGGACAAACACAAACCTTTAACTTTGACAAATTAGACACAAAACAGACACATACAGTAGTGACAATCCCATTCTGTACAAGCTCCTAATATAATCATATTTTTTAAATCCAATTGGAAAATACTCTTTAAGTCACAACATCTGACTTTTTGGTCATGCAATCATAATGACCAAACACAAACATGTAGCCTTATATGAAAAAAAGCTATTTGGTATGGAGTGATCCCTCCACATTGTATTACAAATGTATGTACACAGAATTTTAACAGTCAGTGACAGTCAGGATTACATTTAGAATCTGAATGCATGAAAATAGGTTTTTGGCTTCTTTTTTTTCACTCTCGACCCAGGGAGATTACATCTGTGCTTTCTAAAAGTAACAGCTTGGTGAGCACGTTTCAGGAACACAGAGCTCAGGAAGTGGAAATTCAACGGTAGAATTAAGCAAAAAGTGCATGCATTTGATTATTTTGGATTCATAAATGATGTTCGGACAATAAACAATATTAACTTTGTCTAAATGCATGTAGATCATAAGCATCCTCTAAACTGTATCTCCAGCTCTGTGGTAATGCAAATATTGCTTTCACTTCTGTTCAGAGAAAAGTGGTTGCAGTATTGTACAATAATCCCTCTACATCACCAGAGCTACTGTGGAGCAGTGCGAGTCAAAAAGGAAAAAAAAATTGTCCGATAATCCATTAATGTACCCAGCTTAATCTGTGACAGTTCTAAAGTGCAAACCTAAATGCTTTTGCCTCGTTATTTTTTATGTGGAGGATCTGGAGAGTAAAATTATAGTGTCAACAATGTTAACACGTTAAAGAATAATACAGATGAGGTTTATAGTAAATATGGGGGTATTCTGAATGAGAAATGGGAAAGGAAAATAAAAATGACAATAGGATTCCATAATAGTAGCTAGGACCTTCTAAGGCAGTGGCTTTTTCTAAATATAATGCTGTTACAGAACACCCATTAAAGCCCTTAAGAGTATAATCCTGCGTTACCTACAAACTCATACCAGGTCGAATTTTCAGGGATTCCAGGAAAAATGTCACGTAGGCAGTTTCCAGTTAAAAAAGAAAACCCATTCCCAATGAAGGGTGCCTGAGATGGAGGTGTTGTTTGTTACTTTTAAAACAGAATATCACAAAGATTAAAGAAAATATACATTTGTGTAAATCGCTTTTAATCTTTTCTAATGCTTATGACAGCTGTCATTAATATGCGCTTAGCATCTAAGGGCAGCCAGTTCAGCTGGACAGTGGCATAATATAGAAAAATAGGAAAATAGAGACTGCTATTGAGTAACGGTTTGATATAAGAGTACTGGATGATATGTGAAATATGATCCGAGAAGAAAGCACACACATTACTGTCTGTTGTGATGCATGCAATCAATACAATGTCACACTTGTTAGATAAATTGTCAATTATTCTATTTTATTCCTAGTGAATTAGTTAATTGAAGTGTTTCATTTATAGTAATTCATCACAATAAATGTAATCATCTTAAGTTATAGTAGATCGCAGTGGAAAAGGAGAAGTTAACTCTAGAACATGGTTGTGTCCTACTTTTATATCTTTAATTTAATTATCTCTCGAGTGCATTTGTGTCGCTTTGTTATGATATATAACTTTTTTTCCTCCCTTTCCCACTCATAATTTAACAGTCTGCTTGTTTATCCTCTTTTATTCAAGTGCTAAATAATGTATTAGTTATAGTTTGCGCCGATTTCAAACGGTCAAACGGCAACTCTTTCTGAGATTAAAAACTGGTTTATGTTATGGCTGGCTGAGACAATTTCGAAGGAACAACATTTTGGAAGATACCAAAAAACGTATTTCAACAGACTTGGACATCATTTTCCTGCTGTCATACACACTATGTACATATCGCCATCTACAAAATGTACATGTGGTCTAAGCCAAATGTTGCATCTTGTAGCATAAAGGCTGCACTTTTAAAGGAACATGAATACAATTAAAATGTTCTCAAAATGTTCTGTCTAGGCTTGTTTTTTGGTTCATTGTCTAAATGTTTGTTGTACGTGCTGTAAAGACCCAAAAACTGTATTTATGTTTTCTTTATTGTGTTTCAGTAAAATGTTGGTGACAGACAATGAAATGGTTCTTTACCACCACAGTCTGGTAGGCCATGTGGTGGAATGGATAGATTTATATGACAAACGTGGATGTTAATGCCTCAACTGGTGGAGCTCAATTCTGTTGCCTCAGAAATTCTCTGGAGCTAGAATGAAGTA